ATAATAGATCATGACGTTGGTGGTATTTTTTTTTTATTTTATTTTTGTATTTGAATTCTGGCAGTGTATTTTGGTTCGGACAGACTTAAAGCATACTACCAATTTATCAAAATGTAAATCCTTCGTCATTTTACGGATACTAATATTTATATACCAGAACGGGCGGTACAATTGGAGCCATTTTATTAATGCTATATAATGTGTCTTATGCAAAGGAAGCGACAAAACTTGAGTAAACGCCCATAACAGTTCCCATAAGACCTTAAAACACAACACGCCATTACATTCGGTGGACTGTCGTCCCTCCAGGGAGTAAACAAAGTTGACACTTAATTTGTAAAAGCTGTATGATGTCCCACCAAGATTGAACAGCTTTGCACACATATCACATGCATTTTTCAATAAAGGGACTAATCTTAGATTTTTTATATAAAGTTAGTATGCCAGGCGGTTTGTTGTTGTTAGTCTTGTTCTCATTTCAGAACGTGATATTGCTTACTTTGTTTTAACCCAGATTAAAAGCGGATGTCGTTGATATAATAAGAGACGCTTAACCTTCAGGAACACGTTATCCACCAGTACTTTTTCAAACACCTCCCTGGAAATCTATTATTTGTTTATGTAATGTAATTTTGCACTCGTTTCGTCGATTTTGAGCTCTAATTAATTAAAATTAAAAATTGTTTTAGTTGAAGAATTATTTGAAATCATATCAACGAACATACGTTTACTCTCTCAATATATATACTGTTGCAAATAAAAACGACTTTGTACCTTTTGAAAATGATATTAGCCACTTTATAAGGACCTTGAATGCTTTAATAACCATTGACTCAACTAGTCCAATTCCTCTGGAATATTGTCTGCTTTAAACTCATTTATGTTAATCTTCCAATATTAGACACGCTACGACAGTTGTTTACTGTGTCAGGTTTCACTGCAATATGAAATTCTGTTATACATTACAAACATTTAAGTTTCAAATAGTATGGCGTATGAAATTCTCTATATTTCTCAGACTGCTGTACAAATTGTGTACATTATTCGATAATGTTAATTTAATAACTTATTACAAGTCATTGCACTGGTATTATATATCACCAGGCATTCAGCCTTCTAAAACGGGTTCATGTGGTGAATGACATCTGTTCTACTTTCTCTCTTTCTTGGAGAGTTTATTTAGTATCATTAATTCTTACCTGTAAATCTGAGAACAAAGATAATTAAATGATCCTATGATAACCCTTGACCTCCTGGGGACAAAAGGTTGTGGAGTGCACTTGGCCAATAAGGTTCAATCAATGAACTGACAATTGGTGGCCAATAACTGGAATGAGATCTGTATAACAGTGTGTCTGATAATTGGAGTAATACCTGTGTAAAGATTTGTCCGATAACTAGAGTCAGATCTGTAAAACAAAGTGTCTGATATCTAGAGTCAGATCTGTATAACAATGTGCCAGACATCTAGAGTCAGGTCTGTATAACAATGTGTCAGACATCTAGAGTCAGGTCTGTATAACAATGTGTCAGACATCTAGAGTCAGGTCTGTATACCAATGTGTCAGACATCTAGAGTCAGATCTTTATAACAATATGTCTGATATCTAGAGTCAGATCTGTATAACAATGTGTCTGATAACAAGAGTCAGAACTGTATAAATATGTGTCTGATATCTAGAGTCAGATCTGTATAACGATGTGTCTGATATCTAGAGTCAGATCTGTATAACAATGTGTCTGATAACTAGAGCCAGATCTGTATAAGAAGTGTCTGATAACTAGAGTCAGATCTGTATAACAATGTGTCTGATAACAAGAGTCAGAACTGTATAAATATGTGTCTGATATCTAGAGCCAGATCTGTATAAGAAGTGTCTGATATCTAGAGCCAGATCTGTATAAGAAGTGTCTGATAACTAGAGTCAGATCTGTATAACAATATGTCTGATATCTAGAGTCAGATCTGTATAACAATGTGTCGGATAACTAGAGTCAGAACTGTATAAATATGTGTCTGATATCTAGAGCCAGATCTGTATAAATATGTTTCTGATATCTAGAGCCAGATCTGTATAAGAAGTGTCTGATACCTAGAGTCAGATCTGTATAACAATATGTCTGATTACTAGAGTCAGATCTGTATAACAAAGTGTCTGATAACAAGAGTCAGAACTGTATAAATATGTGTCTGATATCTAGAGCCAGATCTGTATAAGAAGTGTCTGATATCTAGAGCCAGATCTGTATAAGAAGTGTCTGATAACTAGAGTCAGATCTGTATAACAATATGTCTGATATCTAGAGTCAGATCTGTATAACAATGTGTCGGATAACTAGAGTCAGAACTGTATAAATATGTGTCTGATATCTAGAGCCAGATCTGTATAAATATGTTTCTGATATCTAGAGCCAGATCTGTATAAGAAGTGTCTGATACCTAGAGTCAGATCTGTATAACAATATGTCTGATTACTAGAGTCAGATCTGTATAACAATATGTCTAATATCTAGAGCCAGATCTGTATAAGAAGTGTCTGATATCTAGAGCCAGATCTGTATAAGAAGTGTCTGATACCTAGAGTCAGATCTGTATAACAATATGTCTGATATCTAGAGTCAGATCTGTATAACAATGTGTCTGATATCTAGAGCCAGATCTGTATAACAATATGTCTGATATCTAGAGTCAGAACTGTATAACAATATGTCTGATATCTAGAGTCAGGTCTGTATAACAATGTGTCAGACATCTAGAGTCAGGTCTGTATAACTATGTGCCAGACATCTAGAGTCAGATCTGTATAACAAAGTGTCTGATACCTAGAGTCAGATCTGTATAACAAAGTGTCTGATTACTAGAGTCAGATCTGTAAAACAATGTCTGATATCTAGAGCCAGATCTGTATAACAATGTGTCTGATATCTAGAGTCAGATCTGTATAACAATGTGTCTGATATCTAGAGTCAGATCTGTATGACAATGTGTCTGATTACTAGAGTCAGATCTGTATAACAATGTCTGATATCTAGAGTCAGATCTGTATAACAAAGTGTCTGATACCTAGAGTCAGATCTGTATAACAAAGTGTCTGATACCTAGAGTCAGATATGTATAACAATATGTCTGATACCTAGAGTCAGATCTGTATAACAAAGTGTCTGATTACTAGAGTCAGATCTGTATAACGATGTGTCTGATATCTAGAGTCAGATCTGTATAACAATGTCTGATATCTATAACAATGTGTCTGATATCTAGAGTCAGATCTGTATAACAATGTGTCTGATATCTAGAGTCAGATCTGTATGACAATGTGTCTGATTACTAGAGTCAGATCTGTATAACAATGTCTGATATCTAGAGTCAGATCTGTATAACAAAGTGTCTGATACCTAGAGTCAGATCTGTATAACAAAGTGTCTGATACCTAGAGTCAGATCTGTATAACAATATGTCTGATACCTAGAGTCAGATCTGTATAACAATGTGTCTGATATCTAGAGCCAGATCTGTATAAGAAGTGTCTGATAACTAGAGTCAGATCTGCATAACAATATGTCTGATATCTAGAGTCAGATCTGTATAACAATGTGTCTGATATCTAGAGTCAGGTCTGTATAACAATGTGTCTGATATCTAGAGTCAGATCTGTATAACAAAGTGTCTGATTACTAGTCAGATCTGTATAACAAAGTGTCTGATACCTAGAGTCAGATCTGTATAACAAAGTGTCTGATATCTAGAGTCAGATCTGTATAACAATGCATCTAATAACTGGTATCTATTCTGTATTTTACTCTGCACTCAGCACTGCCACATCAGAAGACACCTGCCACATATATTTTTGCAGTATTTGGCAGTGACAGAAATCAGCTGTATTTCAGCATGTGCATTACTTTGACAGAATTACTTTCTGATTTACTTATCAATCACAATTTAAATAAGCAATTTTATTTGTTGTAACAAAGAAGTTTATGGAAGAAAATTCATGAAATTGGTTTTTTTATCCTTTGAAGTGTGTAGCTATATTTCTATGCAGAAAATCATTTTGACGTGTGTAATCGGGCACAATGTAACATCAACATCTGGTACACAAATACTGAATAGACTTAACAGTCTGTTCAGTTTCAATAGTTTTCACTTTCTATAAGTGATCCAAGATAAACAGAATACATGGTCAATGTCTTAAAATATAAATTTCATTTTCAGAAAGGGCTTGCCAAAAGCCCAGTTCTTTTGCTTTTCTTTACTCTCACTGAAATACAGCATATATTTTCAAGACACGGACATGCATCTCCATATAAGTGGTAACATCTAGCACACAAAATTAATCACACCTGAACTACAATGTTCAATCATGTATATTTCTTGTGATATATGCATTAAATCAGAGTTCTGATAATAATACTATATCAACACATAATATACTTTCATAATTCAAATGGTTTAAAATCTGGTAGTAATTTATATACGTAAGAAATTAGCCCATACATGTATCAATACTTTGAAGAAAAAAAACATGAAATTTGATAGCACTGTTAAAGTATTACTAAAAATAGCTCCGCAAAAGCAGGCAATACCCCACAGCCTTATTATAAAGTTGGGTGCAGGGCTGAGATTGTGAAGAACCTCAATAGGCTGTGTAGGTCCATAGGCCCAACATCCTCAGTGAAAATGGTGGTCACCGGCGATGTCGTTCTTGAGATAATGAGGGGAATGCAAATTTAAGATGGCAGCTGTAACCGCCATATTGGATATCGGGCGGCAACGAAAAATAATAAGGTTGTATAGGTCAATAGGCCCAACATCCTCAGTGAAAATGGTGACCACCTGTGTTGTCATTCTTGAGATAATAAGGGGAATGCAATTGTGGATGTACGGACCGACAGACGGACGGATGGACGCCGTGCATGATCGCAATACCCCACACCCTTCAGGCTGTGGTGTAAAAACATTATTTAATCAAATATGATAACAAAAAACTGAAGGCATCACATAAGACAATAAGTTTAATGAATGTTCATGTGTACAATGAATTTGAGAAATGATGTCCAATTAGGAATTACTGTCCACAACGGTTCACAGTTTCCTAAGCTGCCTTCCATCATTAAAGTGTAAAACATCAGTCATCTTTAGAGGATTTAGACGATGAGGCTGCAAATAAAGAAGACAAAAATCAGTCATATTTCTTGTTCCCATCTGGGAGTCCAAAAACATATATCTGTATGCTTATTTATGTATGGTTCAATTTTAAATCCAACTAAACCTCCAGCTGCCTGATAATTAGTGACATTTAGATCCTAACAGTACAAGGATTTTCTGGTATAAAATATTGAAAACTAAATTCACTTAAAACAGAATATACCATTCACCTTATTTTTAAATTTGACATAGATCTGATATCGAGCCACTTAATCCCATCCTTCTACAAAACTTTGAGGTCTTTTTCCCAACTCTATAACAAGAAATTGTTTTGTTATGGTTTTTTTTTCATCCCTTTCCAGCCATACTAGAGAGGTCTTTTTTTTCTTTTTTATTCTTCAACTCATTTTTGTCCCATACCTTAAACTGGTGACCTTGAGATTCATTCTAGCTGTACCGGTATAACTCTCTTCACAATTCCATAGGCTAATTTCTATAACTTAGCATATCTAAACACTTCTCTAGGTAAATTACTATAAATTGAAATCTCTTCACTCTACAATAGGCTTATCACCATAATTAACAATCTAGACACTTCTCCAGACTACGTATTATAACTTACCATATCTAGACACTTCTCTAGGTTAATTACTATACCATCCGTTTCTAAACATTTCTCTAGACTTATTGCAATAACTTCCAATCTTTAGATATTTCTCTAGGTTTATTACTATAACTTATAACCTCTCAACACTTCTCTAGGCTTATGTCAAGGACTTACTATCTCCAGACACTTCTCAAGGTTAATTACTATATTTCATGATCTCTAAACACTGCTCCAGACTTATTTTTATAACTTACCATCTCCAGACACTTCCCTAAGCTCATTGCTATAACTTCCATCTTCAGACACTTCCCTAAGCTCATTGCTATAACTTCCATCTCTAGACATTTCTCTATGCTTATTGATATAACTTCCATCTCTAGACACTTTCCTAAGCTCATTGCTATAACTTCCATCTTCAGACACTTCCTTAAGCTCATTGATATACCATCCATCTCTAGACATTTCTCTATACTTATTGCTATAACTTCCATCTCTAGACATTTCTCTAAGCTTATTGCTATAACTTCCATCTATAGAGTCTTCTCTAGACTTATTGAAATAATTTATGATCTTCAGACACTTCTCCAGGCTTATTACTATAACTTACTATCTCTAGATTCATCTCTAGCTTTCATTCTCTGTATAAATCCATGGCTCTTGCTTTTGCGGAACTGTTCAAAAGGATCTTTGAGATCTATACCAATTCCTTTGTACATATCCTGGCGGTCCCGTACATCACCACTCTCTATGGGGTTCACAATTCCCTGTTCTGATGCACCAAGTCCTCGACCTCCCCAACCTTTTGAGAACCACATTGTTATCTTTAAATTTAAAATTTTCAAAACTTTTTAAAAAGTTCATAACCTAATTTTGATTAACACTTAATACTGCAACTGAAGTTGTAGGCAACCCACAAAAATAAGTACAATAAAACAAAAGGAAAAAAAGGTAACTGAAAAGTATTATCAAAGAATTAACTTACGAGTTAATGAAATCTTCTTAAGTTACCAGAAAAAAGAAACACCATATCATAAATAATTTCTTCGACGTCAACAAATATAAGAGTTTGTTTTAATTACCAAAAAGACTTTAATACAAACACCTTCATATCAATATAATTTTATACAGTTATCTCCCCTTACCCATTTTCATGAGCATCTGATGTCCTTTATTGTCTGTGCCAAGCTTGGTGTCTGTGGGTTGAGGAGCCGGACCACCAACTCTCATAAAGCTATCTGCTGCATTGTTGTCAGTGCTGTAAAAAATGATAACAATCTCCATTTCCTTAAATTCTAAATATATCACTTTCTCATATTAGGGTCTTCTTTAACCTGAATATAAGCTTTACTAAAGAAGAGTGAAGTACAGAGAGTGGGAAGAGACAAAGTAAATACTTCATTCCCCATCTAGTCCATTTTAATGCCCTTATTTACTGCTATGGCATGAAAACATGTAAAATGTAAACTCCAACATGAAAGAGTGTTGCTTGTCTGCTGAAACAGGGGACGTAAAGCCCATAAAAGTATCAAATAAAATCAATTTTAAATGTCTTCTTTCAGACACTTAATAGCAGGTTTCTTGATGACATTTTCCTGGCTTTTGTTACATGAAGACAGGATTAAATGAAAAAGTTTGAGCTCCCTTTGCAAACTTTGCAAAGATTCTAAACATCTCTGTAGAATGTGTTGTGTCTTTTAATGGTCTTTAAAACCATTGAGAATCCCCATGTACCTTACAGCTACTTACAATGTGCCGAGGGGTGGTGTGGGACTGCGAGAAAGCCTCTGTGTGACCTTGACTGGGGAAGGGGAGCGACTCGTGGGAAGGTAGGGTAGAGGGGACTCCGACCGCTTCGATGATCCTCTCTGTTGTTGTATAGGGGAAGGTGATCTGGACCTGAAATGCATGTCAAACATTGAATATGGTGAGAGGTATGTCAAATACTTGTTATACAGAATAATTTTTTCTTTTCCCCTTTTTTTTCATTTATGTAAGACTGATGGCAAGATCCAAAGTCTGATAGACATCATAAGATTCAATACTCCCAAAACTTATATTAAAACAGCACAATCTCACACTTTTGATGTTTTTTCTATCAGTTAGTGGCTGTGTTGACTTTTCTGAACTGATGTGCAATCAAGAATATTATAAGAAACATGATATTTCATCTTAGAAGTAAAAAAAATATCATTGCTTTGCAATTCCAACTGCTTACTGAATTGGATGCCTTTCAATTCTTTATATTTTGACAAAATTTATATCATAAGTGGACCTCTTTACAACAAAATCTTTGAACACTTTAAACATTTCCACTCAATTCAAACACTCGGGAGGCTCACAGTTAATCTTGTCTCTATACAATATTGATTTGTATTGCACAAGATTACAGAAAATATCTTCTATTTCCACATTGAAATAATTTCATTGGCAATGAAAAGAAATGCAGTTCTGATTCTGAAAATTTTCATTCTTATTCAAAATTTTCAAACAGCTGAAACTTGAAAAAAGACTATTACAATATATTAAGTTTGTAACGTTTTATAATAACAATAGACTGCTCTACCTCCATCTGGACTTGACAGGAGACGGTGACCTTGATCTCCGTTTTGACCAATCTGACAGGTTCTGTTGTCGTTGTGGTGATGGTTGAGGTGACAGAGATCTCGAGCTAGAGCTGGAACTTCCTTCTGGAGAAATCCCCCTCCTCTCTCTGTCTTGCTCCTTGAGTCGACGTGCTCGTTGTTTGGCTTTGAAAAACTCATACAATCCAAGCTTCTCCCAGCCCTCACTGTAACCAAGTATCCCATCTGAGATTGTATTACATAGAACTGTGTTTGTTGTTTATCTTATTGTCTGCTCTCATTTAAATTTTTTCTCACTAAATCTCAAAATCTGTATAAAATCTCAGCATAGCTTATCTCATTTTCACAACATATTGTAAAAAAATTCCTGAACACATTGTTTGTTAAGATTGTCTCACTTACATCACATCATGATGAAAGGTAAGACTTAAATTTCTTTAAGAGAGCAGTGAGGTTTACCTGTCTCTAGGACAGAGATAACACTTATCTGTATTTAAAGCAGAGATGTGACTTACCAGGGTACCTATCTCTAGCACAAAGATGATATTTACATGTCACTAGGACTGAGCTGAAACTTTTATGTCTTTAGAAAGAGGTGAGATTTTCTGTCTTGATGACAGAGGTGAGATTTACTTGTCTCTAGGACAGAGATGAGACTTACCTGTCTCTATGACAAATATGAGGCTTTCATGTCTCTAGGACAGAGGCAAGACTTACCTGTCCCTAAGACAGAGGTGAGATTTACCTGTTTCTAAGACAGAGGTGAAATTTACCTGTTTCTAAGACAGAGGTGAGATTTACCTGTTTCCAAGACAGAGGTGAGATTTACCTGTTTCTAAGATAGAGGTGACTTTTACATTTCTGTAGGACAGAGGTAATATTTACTTATCTGCAGGACAGAGGCAAGACTTACCTGTCCCTAAGACAGAGGTGAGATTTACCTGTTTCTTAGACAGAGGTGAAATTTACCTGTTTCTAAGACAGAGGTGAGATTTACCTGTTTCCAAGACAGAGGTGAAATTTACCTGTTTCTAAGATAGAGGTGACTTTTACATTTCTGTAGGACAGAGGTAATATTTACTTATCTGCAGGACAGAGGTGAGATTTACCTGTCCCTAAGACAGAGGTCAGATTTACCTGTCCCTAAGACAAAGGTGACTTTTTACCTGTTTCTAAGACAGAGGTGAGATTTACCTGTTTCTAAGACAGAGGTGACTTTTACCTTCCTGTAGGACAGAGGAGAGATATACTTATCTGGAGGACAGAGGTGAAACTTACCTGTCTCTAGGACGGTCATGATTGGGAGGACTATAAAAAGCTTCCACTGCAGCCAACAATCTCTCACTTGGAGGCATGGGAGGAGGCAGCCGGATATCTTTAGGGTCCAAAGATTTATACTCATGGTCCTCCAACTAAAACAGAATGACTTAGATCTTAGTACAGCATATACCTATGGGGGCAATTTCAGAAAATACAACCACATAAACACCATTTCAAACAAGTAAGAATTTTTTGTATGACCAATATGAATTAGAAATAACTATCATGTTTAAAAAGACAAGTAATATACAACTATTTCACCAATAAAAACAGATTTGGTATGTTGTTATGACAAATTCTTTTACACTTACAGGTTCTCAAATTATACATTGTGCAACAAAACCTTCTTCAAAGATGTATTTATACCTTTATAAGTGGAGCCATTAGACCTGCTGGCAGCTCGTAATATGGTACTGATGGTGTGAGGTCAATTTCTGGAGGTGGCCCCAGCAGAGGGGGTGGACCAGTCATGGCAAATCCCGGAGGAGGTTTGCTAAGGTCAGGGAGAGCAAACTGTCCTGGGGCTGGGCCTGGGGGTGGTGGTCCTTGAAAGTTTGCTGGGAACCCAGGTGTTCCAATGGCAGCAGGAGCTCCAGGAGGAGCACTGGATGCTGTACCCTGAGGAATCCCTGGGGGTGCACTAGGTAGACCTGGGGGTGCACTAGGTAGCCCTGGAGGAGCTCCAGGCAACCCCTGAGGAACTCCTGCTATTCCTTGGGGTGCACCAGCTGAAAAATGAAAATAGAAAAAGTTTGAAATATCCATTGTTTTCAGAATTGAAACTAAAAAATGGTTTGAGAAACATTTCAAAGATTTGCATTAAGTTTTTTGCAGTTTGGATGTTTATTTAATTACAATAACTCACAAACAGTAGAATGTTAACAACATCGTATACCTCCAAAATATAAAGAGAAAACATCAAGCAAACTCACCAAAGTCAAACTGTTGAGGAGGTGTGCCCACAAATCCAGGGGGTGGGGCTCCAAATCCTGGAGGTGGCTGGTTAAATCTAGAGGTCTGTTGCTGAGGCTGGCCAGTCTGGAAGTCATGTTAAAGGGAGATAATTCTGAATATAGTACAGAATCTAACAGAATTTTGTTTTATTATATTCATTTATAATGAGCTATTATTAATCCTTAAGAGAAATCATTAAGGTTAATAATTTATTTGAAATAAGTAAAGTTACAAAGTATGTCCCTAACTCTCTAATTTGTGTTATATCATTTGGCCTATTCAGGTACAAATGTATAATATAATTGCTATTGAGTGTATTGAATGTATTCTCGAAAGCCAGAGATAGACTTTTTTTTGTATTCTCAAAAACACAAATTGAATATTCATAGTGTATAACTTGTATGTACTATATACTTAGGGCATGTTATGTTACTCAAATACAGAAATGACTCTGATTTCATTTTTTTAAATTCAATTCATATGATGTGTCTGTACCAATTCACAGATACAAAATTCATATAGAATGTCTGACAGATGTGTATATACAAGACCCAGCAGATTACAATACAAATTTTCTGATCTATGTTATAATAAATAGGCTGAATATTTTGTGCCAGCAACTACACATTTTCCTAGCTAGGATACCACTAACCAGTAATGTTTTGTGATTTACTGTAGCAGTATTAAGTTTCACTACTACAGCCAATTTGGAAACAAAACATCACAAAAATTTTGATCAAATATATGGAGTCACTAGTTACATATGTTTATTACAACCAATAAAAAAATGTTTCTGATTTCTGAACCATCGTTTTTGATACCTACAGTGTAAATACTTGACCATCAGATGCAATGGGAGATAACTTTAAAATGATTTAAACCAACATCACAATGTAATACACAATCCCTTATGTCTCTTGTCCCCAAATGTTTCTCTTGCCTAGAATTAAAGTTTCCATAAACACATGGTAGCATCAGCTTTTCTCTGCAAAATACAACCATTACTGACATGTAGTAGTAACAGTGACTCCTGACCTTACCTGGATTGACTGTACTGTGGTGATCTGTGGGGGCGGGGTGGTCATCAGACCAGACGACGTAGGGGGAAGTGTTGAGGTGACCACACTGGCTGGGGTGAGACCCGAGGGAATTGATGTAGATAAGACAGTGGGCTGGGATGACACCTGAACCGCAGATATAACTGGAGCTACACTGACAGTCTGGGGAACACCTGTATGTTGAGTAAACAACAGAGTAATAAAAATAACAATTTGACGAAAAACTCAATAAACAGAATGTTTAACATGTGCTTTGATAACACATAAAGGGGTCTTTCAAGAGCCATGAAAAATACCTGATTAAAGAGCAAAAAAGTTCCAGTCATTAGACAAATTTGATAAATTCAACATGACATGAACACTAGTGTATATAATTTTATTTAAATCCTGGATCTTATCAATAAGAAAATTAAAAAGAAACTAAAATTTTGAGTAAAAAGATGTCCCACTGCCCTGACAATAATTATCATTTCACACTACACTAAGGAACTGCTTACAGTGAGGGAAATTTGATATTTTTCATACGTGTGCACTACATGTGTGAAAAATATCAAAGCTTCCCCCACAAGATGAAACTTAACCATTATCTCTCCAAAAACAATGAATATTTCTGGATAACATGTTCTTTCATACTGTTTATAGATGCCAGTCTGATTTAAATGCATAGTTCTATTATCATAACTCTGTGAGATATATAGTTTCTAAGACATAAATTGCTGAGTTATTTAACCTCAAGTGAGTATTTTAACATTTATACAATATATGAAATACTTTACTGATTAAAACTTTCTTCCCAATTTCATAGGGCTATCTTAACCAGAGTTGTTAACCCTGCAGATTGCTATGTATTTTGTGATGATATTTTCACTGCAAATGCAGGGATTTAAATGAGTGAAAATAAGAAAAATTGTCTTTTTTCCCAATGCAGAAAAAAAGTCACTTACAAAAGTGTAAAAAAAAACATTCAAAACCATCAAATCTAATTTATTTAGGATGCAATATGAAAGACCCCACTATGAATTCATTGATGATTTCTGGACACTGACCTGGCATTGCCACCCCAGAAAGTGAGGTGAGGGGCTGTGGTTGTGTCCCAGCTGCGACAACCACAGCAACAGCCTGTTGCTGTGCCTGTTGCTGTGCTTGTTGCTGTGCCTGTTGTTGTTGTTGCTGCTGCTGCTGTTGTTGAGCCTGTTGCTGTAACAGCTGTTGTAACTGTTGTTGCATCTGTTGTGCCTGGCTATTGAGATGAGAGGTGAAGTCGAGATGTTGTTTCTGAAGGGAACTATACTGCTGCTGAACATTGTTACTAACCATACGTACAATTTCTCCATGTTCAGTTATTAGGGAGGCCTGGTATGCAGACAATGAGGCAGAGGGCTCCTTCAGTTTCTGTAAGAAGCAAAACATTAATATTAAACAAACTGAGAAATACTGGTAACACAAATATATACTCAACCAAAAAAGAAACGCACAATTGAATTATGCAATCAATAGCCAATGATATTTTGGGAAATTTTCACAAAATTTTATGTCAATGTGTAGGGACAAGTCTATTATTTATATACTGTAGAAGAATAGTCTGTGTGACATCACTCATGTCAAAAGTAATTACTCAAAGAGGGATAACCGAGAAAAACAAAATGACACTTCAGTACCTAGTGTGGGCACCTCTTGCACGAAAACCTGAATGGATTCTCTTAAGCATTGAATTCATGAGAATGTTGATTCACCTTAAGGGAATGTTGTTCCATTCTTGTGTTAATGCTACCATCAACTGAGCGTGGTTAGTTTGGGGGTTTGACATTTCCTAATATGCCTGTCCAGCTCATCCCACAGATGCTCAATGGGAGACATGTCATATAGGGGCCATTCCAAAGGCTGAACATTGTTTGCCATGAGAGAATCATGACAGACTGTGGCGGCAACATGTGGTCGAGAAGTGTCTTGCTGGGAAATTAGGTTATGACGTCCGAGAAGTGGAAGGACATGAGGTTTGAGGATCTGGTCTCTATATTGAAAGGCATTGAGGTTTGGATCCAGGACCATTAAGAGGGATTTCACACCATGGGAGATGCATCCCGAAACCATTACAGAAGCCCCAACACATTCGACCATACATGTGTCGGCAAAAACCGCTCACCATGTCTGCGATACACCCTTTTTCTACTGTCTTGGTGATACAGACAGAATCTAGACTTGTCGGTGAACATTGCACGCCTCCATCAACGCATCCCAAACCTTTTCGGGCCATGTCTGCACATCCAGTCAAGATGCACTTGGTATCTGTGGTGTTAGATGTGGCCTGACATAAGGTCAGTGCACAATAATTCTTTCATAATGCAAATGGTTCCTGGCATCTGAGCACTAATGGGTTTGCCATGAGTACCAAAAGTATGCGAAACAGTCTCTACAGCAGTCTTGAATCTGTTGTGCAAGTGCAACAATCAAATTATCCTGTCTTGTCATGCTTTCGTTACATGCGGATGACCTATCCTGGGATGATGGAAACTAACCTAGTAGCATGGAAACATGTTTTGAGACATTTAATTGTACACAGGGCAACGCCAAACTGCCATGTGACAGCAGTTTGGCTATGACTATCCATCAACATCACAATTGCTCTACCCTTCTGAATTTGCATTAAGCTTGGCATCTTGGTCAATGACGAAATCAAAATGCCAACATGAAAAATTAATGTGGCTGAACTGCTGGTTGAAATTATTCCTTCGCAAAAAGTCCGGCTTGGCTTGATTAAGTCACATGATTTGGACAAAAGTAGCTCACAAAATCAGACAATGACATTGTCATGCTTGGCTGATTTTAGGGTAGATTGTCTAGAAAGGAGACCATTCTTAATGTTATGCCTAATGAAATATTCCATTATTCCTTACAGCAAAGGTGTACTGCAGGGGGGATGTTACTTGTTTTGTTGAGTATGCACTATTCAATTCCAACATAAATCGGTACTGTGAATTACCTCTAACAGTGTATTTTATATGTTTGCAGACAATTGTGCTGACTACTTCACAGTTTACAAGCTGGAATACAATTTCGATAGAGTTATCTTTCTTGGGATACAAAAAACAAAGATATAGTTGAGTTATCTTTCTTGGTTTACCAAAAACACAGACATACACCTGAGACCATCACCTGTTTTGCTTAATGTAACATTAGTTATTTCTAAACAATATCTGCTATCATATTGATAATCAAGCTATCATGTTGAAGCAGATCTGGTAACAAAGCATTATATTGTTTTTAGGTAAACTAAATAAAATCTATGCCTGAACTTATTGAAATAATGATAAACATCTTGGGCATGCCCAAAGTATTTGTATCACACAGTCTGCCTCCTTCCTGGAATACTTTGTGATATTCAGTTCATATGTCTCAGTCACTTACATAAAAAACATAAAACAATACAAGCCACTATACTAGGGCACATTTATTACAGGTCACAATACTAGCAGCAGCTGGTGGAATTTCACTTTAGTTGAGTAGTAGAGTGTCCATTTATCACAGACCCTCTCCACATATTTATGTCCCTTTGAATGCTATTAGTTTACAGTGTCCTAATTAGCTGAAACTCTCTATACAAGGACTGTGATAGTTGATAGTAAGTAAATTGATAACCTATATAATTTCATCAGAGGATCAAAGGTGTATGGTTCTATACTCTATTGCATGTGGCATTTACGTCTTTCAGGCAGCTGAAATGCAGACTTGCCTGTACCTACATGGTTGCATTCTTATGCAACACCCTTTACCCTTGCTACTCTAAATGGCATGTAATGGGCTTTAACACCACCTCAAAATGACCTGGCCGTTCATGGGGTGATAAACCCAGCAAACTAACAATCCTTAATTCCTTAAAGCATGCAATTATCTCCCTTCGATAATATGATTATTAAATCCTTGTCATGTGGTCATTACAAGCGTTATGTGTTGTAAGAGTATTCAGAACTGATACATAACAAGCATTTTTTCTTTTTTTCGATATAGCACATGTCAAATCATGTGACACTTTCTGATAGTTGAGTACCATAACATAACACTAGTCATGTAATACCGTTTCATAACAGATCCGCTTATCACAACAAATATAGCTGTATTTTGACATACAGCTTTATAAAATCTATCAATTTCTATTCAGGATAAAAGTGTGTGACAGAATATTCCTACACAAAGGATGAAAATCAAATACCATTTCTATAGGTGTCATTTTTTTTACATTTCTTCAAAATTCAATCAGTAAACTGAAAGCTGTCTACCACATCAGACACTTTGAGATGTAGATTTACCAACTTAAAACCTTAATGTACATTGAATTAGTCTGTCTGATTACAACATAAGTAAAGCATTTCTTTTTCTACTGCTGATCACTCAATATGGTACAAATATGCTAATTTAGAGCAACAAAATTTTAGATCATTTAAAATTTTGGGCAAATTAGCACAATGATCAATTATAATCACTGTACATTAATAAATAAAAGCCCCAAATAGTACAATCCTAATTCAGTGCAATACTCAGAGGGAAAGCACAATCCTAATTCAGTGCAATACTCAGAGGGAAAGCACAATCCTAATTCAGTGCAATACTCAGAGGGAAAGCACAATCCTATTTCAGTGCAATACTCAGAAGGAAAGCACAATCCTATTTCAGTGCAATACTCAAAGGGAAAAAAACAGCCAAATGATACTACTTTTAAATATGTATGTTTATGGCAGTATCTCCAGTAATAGGAAAGGTATATAAGGACTATATACATGTTACTAGATGCAGAATTGTTTTGTTTTTTGCATTGTACATTGTACATTTCCATTTTTTTCAAAAATCCATATGCATTTTAATTTTATAAAATGCATGGTGTTAAAAAGTGATTAGCAATGATTTCAGTTTGGTGCTCCAGTTTATTCTTATTTTAATTCAATTCATTTCCCTCCCCATGCTTAAAATGACAATGTCAGATCTAAAATCCTTCATTTTTCAGTATCAAGTCATCTTTGTAACAAACATCTAGTCGCATCAACAAAATAATTTGGAAAATTATTTCATTAATGAATATACTGATCAATTATCTTTGCAAAATCTGTCATTTATTTTCATTTGGCATAAGTGAAACTAAGTATGGCATAGTTACATAAATGTCACAGTTTGTAAATATTTGAAACATAACCAGTGAACATACACTTAATAAATGGAAGCTGCATCTAACATTACAAAACTTGGTAGGTAAAACCACAGTGTTACCAATATATAGACGAATGGCAACTTAGGGATGTATATTGAACTAAAAAGATAAGTACATTGTTTCCCATTCTACACTTACAGAAATATAAAAAGCCATCATTTTAATTCAACCCTAATTTCCATCAGAATATTTTGTGCCTAATACTGTTAACACTTGCATCATTACGTTTTCTTGATAGTTTGATGTATTTAATATATTCTAAAACAATCTCACATTAAATTGCCAAGCTGAACAATTATCGTAACTTGTGAACTGATAACAATTCATTCTGAATCCTAACAAGAGACAAAAGGGCCTAAAATAACAATGCTATTGTTTTTTCTTGAAACACATCGTAGAAGTAATCTTCTTACCAAAGTATGATAACTTTAACTAATTGAATATGTAAGGTATATGTATATTTGTGCACAAGTCATTTGACAAGCTATCTTGACTGCGAGTCACATTTTCTCGCCACGTGAACATTCCTACAAAGAAAACAGCTGATGGCACGTAAACACAATTCACCATGCATTTTATATTGAGTTTGATTTCATTTACGTCACTGGTATACACAATACAGGCATATTATCACTATTGTGGCAAATCACTTTGAAATATGAGCAGCAAACGAACTCAGACCAAACGACAAACTTCCAAGTACAGGAAGACAGTGACAATCCTGATTATTAAACTGTATTCAAATATCAATATGCAAATTGTCGCCACCTGGGTTCGAAAATAAGGAACCTCAATTAAGAGGCCACCTCTCTATAAAGGCCTCTTTCATAATTTCCCCACAGTGGTTGTTTAATACAGGTTAGATTGTATTTTCTATTGAAGTTTTAAAAATTACACTAAAAAAACTTTGTATATAGTATACAGTTAATTAAACCCATCCCCAGGGGAAAACATGATATCGTGGAATCATGAAATTCATAAATTTGTTAAATCACCTTCAGGCTTTCCCATCTGTGAAAAGCATTTGATTGTACCATATTTATTATATTATTTAGGTGATGGCAAGAAGATTTTTGAAATTTCAGTGAATTAACTCTTTTTTGGGGATGGGGGCCATATAAATTACAAATTTTGGTTCATCTTTGGACATGAAAGGTTTATGCAAAAATTTCATTGAAATCAATTCAGGGGTTTT